TATAGATTGGAATTGATAAAGAAATTGATGCATGTCATTTTAAAGTCACACCACCTGAAAGGCCATATATAACAGAAGTAAGATACATAGTCAACTTTATTTTATATTTTTATAAAGATTTCTCATAGGCATTGAAGTTTACGTCTTCTATAACCATTTATTTTTTAATTGCAAGTCAAATCGTGTCAAACTTGAATAAAATTTAGCTTTTAAATTAAAATGAGTCTGGTGTGGGCTCTAAAAAAAGTTTTCCTCAGAATCGTGCCTCGTTGCAATCCTAAGGTTCTTAAACATATGAACAGCGAATTTTTGAATGAATACGGGCAATCGATTCGACGCCGCTTAGTAGAAATACAACGTAGGGTCGATTTCAAGCCTCGAACCAATAAAACGGGCCCAGGAAATTTAAGATCGAAAATTCAAAGTTTATGCACTTGCAAGGCGTGTTCAACGAGGAGCATTAAAATGACCCCAAGACTAGCTTATTACAAAGGATTTGTGATAGTGAAATACGATGGCGTTTCAGACAAACATCTCGCAGCCAATGATATAAATTGGTTTAACGATCTAAATGGGAGGAGTGCTGTTGACGATATATTAAAAGAAAAGAACGAGAAAGAATAAAAATGTCGGAATGCGCACAAAATGAAAAAAATATTTAAACAAAATTCGAAAATTGATAAATTTTTAGTTCCTCTCATCAAAAACAGGCCACGTATAATGAATATTAAAAACACGTTAGCAATTATATGGCAGTTATTTCGCTTTATAATTAATGAAAATAAAATAAAAAATGAAAAAAAAAAAAAAAAAAAATTAAAAACCCAAAAATGTTTTTAATCCCATTTTAGTCCCATTCTTGTACAGGAGCGGAAGCCGTATCTTCTAATCTGCCCGGTTTCTAAGCTCAATTCAAACAAGTTGTTCAATCTTATCTGAAATTTATGCAGAGAACCTACACGTCTCCAAGTTTTCAAATTTTGTTCGGAAAGAAGCGCTTCACAACATGTAGACCCTTTCGCCAATCGCCCAAAAAAGTCGCCAACGATTTTCAGAAGCTTTCCGAATCGAAATTGTTTATAGCAATATTTGAAAAAATTTGTTTTTCAAAGTTGGCTGCTTACGAGCAGTTTAAGTTCCTTCCTTCCTAAAAATGCGCTTCCAAGGCTTCCTATAGAATACACTTTATAAATGCAAACATATAGATCGATATGGCCATGTCCGTCCGTCTGTGCAGTCTTTTAGAGTCTGCTTTCTGAATCGGTCAACTGAGTTAAAGGACTATTTTAGGAGATGAACCTGATACACCTAGAAACATAAGTTGCAATCTATTGCAGATGCAGGCCGACAAAACTTGATGCTCATTGTTTGCAAAATCACATGACAAATAGAAAAAACCACTAAGTATGATCTGTTCCAGCAAATGTTTATCATTAATAAAATACTTTGGAATGCTTAAATATAAGGAAAACGATGCTTAGCCAAGAATCTCCCTCAAGCTGGTGCAGTCTTCTTAATTGCCGAACTTGATCTGTAAGCTTCAACTAAAAACGCCGAGAAGCGTTCCACAGTAGAAAGCAGATACATGGGTGAGCGTTACCCAAGCAAGCTAATGGTATCACGCAACTGTGGAAACTAGTACTTATGCCTGGCTTTAATAAACATTTTGATTAAAAATAAAGGTTATAGACGAAAGTTTGATGTCCACAATGTGAATGCACAGGAACTACAAAATGTTTTGCAAATAGCATCCGTCGGATAGGCCATAACTGGATCAGCTTTCGCACTGAGAAGACAAGACAAGAAATCTTTGCTAAAGGTTACAAGTTTTAGGCTTCGGTTCTCATAGGTGAACTTGGCCACTATTCTAGGCATTATTAAGCTCAACGTATGTCTATGAGCTAACAAGTTCTAGCTCCAACCACTTTTACTTTAACAACGGTGAAATTCGGCGATAGTCAAGCGGACAGATAGACTGGTTTCCATATCCTACAATGGTTAAGTATTTCCGGATCGTTCTAATATACTAGCAATCGTATAGACCAAAATAAGCAATCATTGATATTTGTTTAGTTTATCATAGATAAGGCAGAGGGAGAGAGAGAGGGGGAGAGGGGGAGAGGGGGAGAGAGAGATAGAGAGAGATCCTAGCTATGATACCTATATTACATAAACTGTTTGTGTGTTTGTCTTCTGCATTGGAGAACTTAAACAATAGGCGGTTTGAAAGATGTAGGCCATATCCTAGTAATGCAGTGATTTGCTGATCAAATTTTGTACTTGGCAAAAGGTAGAGCACCATTTCATTTTTAACCTCACAAGCGCCGAATTGAACGAAGCGATTTGTCCTTAGTGCATACGCATCCATA